CTCAAGGCTAGCGCTCTACCACTTGAGCCACAGTGCCACTTCCGGCTTTTTTCTATTTGCTTCTGTGGTGCTGAGGAATCGAACCCAGGGCCTCATGCATGCTAGGCAAGCACTCTACTGCTGAGCCACCTTCCCAGCCCTCCCCCCTCCTTTTTTTTTTTTTTGTTGGTCATGGGGCCTGAACTCTGGGCCTGGGCACTGCCCCTCAGCTCTACCACTTGAGCCACAACACTACTTCTGGCTTTTTCTATCTAGGTGGTGCTGAGGAATCAAACCCAGGGCTTCATGCATGCCAGGCAAGCACTCTACCACTGAGCCACCTTCCCAGCCCTGAGAATTCTTTTTTCTTTCGAACTTTTTTTTTTTTCCTGGTCCTGGGGCTTGAACTCAGGGCCCAGGTACTGTCTCTGAGTTCTTTTTTGCTCAAGGCTAGTGCTCTATCACTTTGAGCGTCAGAGCCACTTCTGGTTTTCTGGTTGTGAATTAGAGATGAGTTTCATGGACTTCTCAGGCTGGTTTTCAACTATGATCTTCAGATCTAAGCCTGCTAAGTAGCTAGGATTATAGGCAGGAACTACCAGTGCCCAGCTCACATGAACTTTTTATTTGTTTTAGAAATCTATATTTTTAACCATACTTGGTCAAAACTATGTAACATCTATCTGTGAGTAAGGCAGGCTTACTAACTTAAACTTCTGCAGATAAAATTAAGTTGTTTTTACGAGCCAAAGCAGCTAAGACAGATAGAGCTTTTCTTCATTGTATTGCACTTACTGTTCTCACTGTTTGAGATAGAGTTGATTAGATTTAAACTATACTTTGAAGTTGCCTTTAGATGTGCTTTAGTTGGTTCCTTATAGAAAAATACAAATATTCCCAATGGTGTTTTTGTTTTTGTTTTTTGCTAGCCCTGGGGCTTGAATTCAGGGTCTGAGCACTGTCCTTGAGCTTCATTTGCTCAAGTCTAGTACTCTACCACTTGATCCACAGTGCTACTTCTAGCTTTTTCTTTGTATGTGGTACTGAGGAATTGAACCCAGGGCTTCATGCATGCTAGGTAAATACCCTACCATCAAGCCACATTCCCAGCCCCCCAGTGTTTTCTTAAAAAATTTATTGCCTTGTGCAACTCAACAGAAGTTAGGAGTTCATTTTTCTTAATGTTAATTTTTGTATTATTAGAAAGGTGATGTACAGAGGAGTTAGTTACTTAAGTCGGGTGATGAGCACATTTCTTTTTGGACAATTTACCCCTTCCCTCACTCCTTCCTAGTTTTTCCCTCCCATCTCCACCTACTAGTTGTATAGTTCACCCTTTGCCCCTCCATTTCTGTGGCTTCCCCCTTACCCTCCCAAATACAGATAAACAAACAAACAAAACGAAAAGAAAAGGAAAACAAAAACCAAAAAAACCCGTTTCTATTTCCTGGAGTTCATTTCATAAATGTTATTTTATGTCAGAGGCACATAGGCATTGTGCCCTTGTATTCCTTCCCTGAGTATAGGATTTCTTTTTTGAAAGTTCATTCTGGTAATATCATGTCCTGATTGTTTCTGAAAGTTTCCTGGTGATGTGTGTGGCATGTTGGGAGTTAGCAAAGTCTGAGGCAGTTACTGTGAGCTCCAGTCAGCTTCCTGTCCTGAGTTAGGAAAGGTAGGCATTCAGAGATTTCATTTTTGGTCTGTGAAGGTATGTGTATTATAATAGGCTAAAAACTTTTCTTACTTGCATTGTTTAGAATGAAGGTAGTGTATAAAATGTGGTAGGAGGAAGTGGCGCTGTGGCTCAAGTGGTAGAGAGCTCCCCTTGAGCTGAAGAGCACAGGGACAGCGCCCAGGCCCAGAGTTCAGGCCCCACAACCGACCAAATAAATAAATAAATAAATAATAAAATGTGGTAAGAATACAGAATAGCAAATTTTTGTTGTTCAGCAAATGTAAGGTACAAATCACTGCACTTTCTGAGATTTTTGTTGTTGTTGTTTTTGTTGGTTGTGAGGCTTGAACTCTGGGCCTGTCGCTGTACCTGAGCTCTTCAGCTCAAGGTGAGTGCTCTACTGCTTGAGTCACAGTGCCACTTCCTGTTTTCTAGTGTTTTATTGGAGATAAGAGTCTCTCACAAACTTTACTGCCCAGGCTGGCTTTGACTTGCAATCCTGTCAGCCTCCTGAGTAGCTAGGATTACAGGTATGAGCCACCTGCGCCCAGCGAGATTTTTGTTTTGTCTGAAAGATACATCTCTACTTAAAGAACTGAAGTAGTATGTGTACATCCAAAGAGTGGGTTCTAGGAGGGGAAGGTAGGCAGTTCCTGAGAAGCCCTTTGTTTTGGCAGACTGGACAGCTGAAGGGCCAGAATTAGCAGAGGCAATACAATGAGGAAATGATTTAACTATGCTGATTGTTTTTGCAGACATTGTTCTGGGCTGATACCAGAGAGTTCCTTTCACTATGAAAAAGGGTGATGGGAAAAACAAAAACCCTTCCTTTTTAAATTGCCTTTTATTGGGGAAAAATACTATGGTTACTAATTCACAGCAACAAACAAGCTGTACCCGGCATACTTGTGACTTAGAGACTTACTTCACTCAGTCCTCAGTTCTATACCGAGCTCCAGTTGTCTTATTTCAAGAAGGCTGTGAAAGCAGCAGCGCTGGCTCACACTTGTGGGAATTGGGAGAACTGGAAAATGAACTTGGCTGTCTGGCCCTAGAGCCCACAGTCTTGTCTTCTGTGCTGAGTACTACCACCCAAGAGTTACTGTCTTACTATTCTGTGCAGTAGTATAGAATGTGTGTGTGTCTTCTTTGAATTCAACTGTTAAAATTCACTTTGACATCTTATCTTTTTCCTTCCCTCTCTTTCTGTCGTCTCCCTTTCCAGGGCTTACGGTATGCTAGGCATGCAATCCACTATTGAACCACATCTCCAGCCGTCTCTTACAGCTGGAAGGAAATCATAAAAAGGGGTGGGAGGTCAAATTATTAATTCAGAAATCTGGGCACTTAAGTCTTAGTAAGATCTAGGTCTTTAAATCATCTCCCTTTTTTTTGTCTTTTGCCAGTCCTGGGGCTTGAACTCAGGGCCTAGGCACTGTTCCTGAGCTTCTTTTGCTCAAGACTAGCATTCTACCGTTTGAGCCACAGCCCACTTCTGCTTTTTCCCAGGGCTTCATTCATGCTAGGTAAGCACTTTACTACTAAGCCACATTCCCAGCCCACTCATCTCCTTTTAAAAATCATTCAAATTTTGCTTAAGAGCAGAATTACTGAGATTTTTTTGTATTTATTTATTTATTTGGGGGGGGGTCTGATCGTGGGGCCTGAACTCTGGGCCTGGGCGCTGTCCCTCAGCTCTTCAGCTCAAGGCTAGCACTATACCACTTGAGCCACAGCGCTACTTCCAGCTTTTTTCTTTTTGCTTATGTGGTGCAGAGGAATCGAACCCAGGGGCCTTATGCATGCAAGGCAAGCGCTCTACCACTGAGCTACCTTCCCAGCCCCAGTTTTTATTTTTGGAGATAGATTCTCACTATGAAACATAGGCTGACCTCAAACTCAAGATCCTCTTACCTTGGCCTCCCAAGTACTGTGGTGATAGACGTATACTACCACACCCAGCTTTGAGAAATTGAAAAAAAATGACTAGCATATTTTTTATGAGAGTAATCACACTGTGACTTAAGAGGCAGGTTTTTTTCTTATAATACACTGAATTTTTTGTATGTGGTAAACACATTTAATGCATTTATGCCTGTTTTGAAAGATTAGGAATTTAAGTTTGTTATTTGAAATGGTTAAGAAACTTTATGACAGTAGGCTTTATTTCACTTTACTATATTGTCAAAAGTTTATGATTGTGAGAATGCTCCAGAAGAGATTGCCTATAGGTTTTGATTTTGTGGTTTACTTATTTATTTATTTATTTTTGTCAGTCCTAGGGCTTGAACTCTGGGCCTGAGTGCTGTCCCTTAGCTCTTCAGCTCAAGGCTAGTGCTCTACCACTTGAGCTACAGTGTCACTTCCTGTTTTTCTAGTGGTTTATTGGAGATGAGAGTCTCACGAACTTTGTTGCTTGGTCTGGCTTTGAACCTCCATCCTCAGATCTCAGCCTCCTGAGTAGCTAGGATGACAGGCGTGAGCCACTGGCGTCTGGCTTGATTTTGTGGTTTTGAAATATAAATGGTGTGCTCTTATGAGAGGCTTTATACTAAATATGTCACAGATTTTTTTTTTCCCCTGGTCCTGGGGCTTGAAGTCTGGTCCTGGGCACGGTCCCTGAGCCTCTTTTGCTCCAAGTGAGTACTCTACCATTTGAGCCATTACTTACAGTTGTTTTTTTTTTTTTT